GGGTGGCAAGGAGTGCCGCCCCTGGCCTTGTTGGAGCCCATCAGGAGGTGAGCAGCCGGAGGGAGTCCCCAACCTTTCTAACTCCACGGACTGGTTGGGGAAGGCAGGGCACCCCCCTGCACTCGTGCGCAAAGGAGCGGGTGCATGCACACTTGCGTGCATGCATGAAATGCAGGGGCTGTGCGGGGGGTGGGAGTGAGTGTAGGGGGGTGGAAGATCTGTCTCCGCGGTCCGGCCCAGGCCACAGACAGGCATCGGGCCACAGACCGGGGACCCCTACACTACACCACACTTGGTGTTCCTCTTGAAATAATGCATAGAGCAATAAGTTACATTGCAATGGAGGAGGCTTTATTTAACTCAGGGGTGGGCAATTAATTTCTATAGGGGGCCACATGAAAAATCTGAATTGTGTTTAGGGGCCGAACCAACTTTATTTAAAAATAAAAGATAAGTAATTCATAACTTTAGACAAAAAGCTATAAATGGTTTTGATGTTCAACTTGTTCAGTGAGAGAGATCCAGTCTGTCTTGGGCTTGAACAAGTGCTTGGACACCAGACTGGAGTGACAACTGGCGGGCCAGACAGGAGCGACTCATGGGCCGTATGTGGCCCTTGGGCCGCACTTTGCCCAGGTCTGATTTAACTGATAGGGGTAATTTATGAGGCAAAAATGGCTGATGACATGCATAAATTATGTATGTCACCTAACTCTCCAATTTAGGATGAACTTTGCAGCCAGAGAGAACCATCTGTATTTGAAAGCTTTCCCTTCATTCTGCAACTGAAATTTATCTAAGTTTTCTAAAACTCCTGTTTTCCATCACCTTTTCCCCAAACCAAGCAATTGTTGTATCTGGAACTTTCTGTTAAATCTTCTCAATTTGTTTTGCTTCGGGCCCCTGCTTCCCCTCTACAGTATTTCCCATCCTCATCTTGGTTCAGATTTTTTGAAATAGATTTTTTGTCAATTGTTTTATTTGTGTCACTTTGTGTGTCTTAATGGAAGAACTTGTAGCCGAATGCAGTCTATTGGCCCAGGTTATTACATGGGATTTAAAATTGCTGCATTTTGAGGCATTTAGATTTGGCAATTCAGTGTTCCAGGATTGGTGTATGGTGGTGGGAGGTATAAATACAGTACCTGGCAGCTGGGGAATGCTTTGCAGAGGGCTGAAAAAGAAACCCAGGAAGAAAAGGAACAAGGGAAGGAGGGAGGTGAATCTATTAATATCATTACAGTCCACAACATTTTATGTTACGGTTGCTGTAAACCACAGAATATTGTATTCAACGAAGAAAGTGTTTCTGTCTCAAAGATGGTGTCATATGCTGCTGATCAAACATCTAGGAGACATACTGTACATCCAACGCTTGCTGTCTAAACTGTTAACATGAGGAAACAAGCATTTGCATTTTCTTGCAGTGGTGCCTCGCTAGACAGTTACCCCGCATGACAGTTTTTTCGCTAGACATTGGCTTTTTGCGATCGCTATAGTGATTCGCAAAACAGTGATTTCTATGGGGGAATTTCGCTGGACAATGTTTGGTCCCTGCTTCGCAAACCAATTTTCCCTAGACAACGATTTTGACAGCTCCCTCCGTGCTCGCAAACAGCTGTTTTGGGGACCTAAGCTTCGCAAGACAGCGATTTAAACAGCTAATCGGCGGTTTGCAAAGCCGCTTTCCTATGGCCGATCTTCGCTGGACAACAATGATTCTTCCCCATTGCAACGCCTTAAACAGGTTTCAATGCATTCCAATGGGGAAATGCTTTTCACTAGACAATGATTTCGCTAAACAGCGATTTCAGTGGAACGGTTTATCATCGTCTAGCGAGGCACCACTGTATTTCTTCCGTCATCTACTTTTTTATTTTATTTATTTAAAATATTTTTATCCCACCTTTTTCTTTTAAGACCCAAGGTGTCTTACAACAATGAATAATAATATTTAAAGTTGAAACCAATGAGTATACCCTGCTTCCCTGAAAATAAGACCTAACCTGAAAATAAGCCCTAGTATGATTTTTCAGGATGCTTGTAATATAAGCCCTACCCCCCAAAATAAGCCCCAGTTAAGTGAACCCACATTCACTTAGGCTCCCAGAACGTAACTTCACCTCCACCAGTGTGCAGCAACCAGAAGATGACATTACTGTATTTGAATAAACGTAGATTGTTTTACATGAAAAAAATAATAATAAAACATCCCCTGAAAATAAACCCTAATACGTTTTTTGGAGCAAAAATAAATATAGGACCCTCTCTTATTTTGGGGAAAACACGGTAGAACAGTGGTTAACATTAGAGATGGGGGTATTCATATACGAATATCTCCCCACAGGTGGAGATAATGAGGTTCTGGCCCCATGGGGCCCAGAATGTCCACTCACAATTACATTGATGCTGTGAGCTGCACAGAGCCTTCCTATCGCTCCATTGCTTGTGATAGATTAGCCAGTCCTGTCAGAAGGCAGGATGATGAGTCTCTCTGCCAGGTCAAAGCACCGTTGTCCTTAATGGATTAGCCACTTTGCAACCTGGCAGAGAGGCTTGTCATCCCGCCTCCTGCCAGGAGTGGCTAATCCACTGCGGACAATGGCGCGATAGGAAGGCTCCGCCAAGCTCGCATCAGCAGCAAAATAATGAGCGGACCCTCCTTATCTCCACCTGCGGGGGATATTCATATACAGTACAAATACCCCCATCTCTATTCATAATGGAAAATACAGGCTTTGAGATAGCTTGGACCCAGGCCATTAGAGGCTTTATAGGTTTAAAAAAGCACTTTAAATTGTGCCCGGTCATATACAGTACAAATACCCCCATCTCTATTCATAATGGAAAATACAGGCTTTGAGATAGCTTGGACCCAGGCCATTAGAGGCTTTATAGGTTTAAAAAAGCACTTTAAATTGTGCCCGGTAACCAATTGGCAGCCAGTGGAGCTGCTGTAATAGGGGGATTATGTGATGCCCGTCAGCAATTTGGCTGCTGCATTTTGGACCTGTTGAAGTTTCCTGACATTTTCCATTGATAGCTTGACATACAGCTCATTACAGTAATCCAGGGTGTGTATCACAATGACCAGATCTGATCTCTCAAGAAACAGACGTAGCTGCACACCTATTTTTTGAATGGGAGTGTAATCCCATTCAGTACTGGCTGGATCCCCATTCCTTGATTCACCTTTCAGCTGACCAAGAGCATCTCTTGTCTTGTCTAGATTACGTTTCAATTTATTCACCCTCATCCAGTCCATTACTAATACCAACACTGATCTAGAGCCAAAGTACCACTTTTTTCTACCACCTAGCTTCCTGAAAAGCTCTGCTGACATAAGAAGTGGCATGTTGTGGCACTTGCCTCCTCCTATTTATTAGTAGGTCAACTTTCCTTGTACTCATACTAGTACTGCATTCAAGAATTCAAACAATGCACTGAAAACAGTGTCAGAGCAGGAAAAAAATTGCCTTCTGTTTTTTTTTTCAACACTGCGGTGTATTTTCTTTTGCTTTGCTCTGATTTGTTGCAATGGATGATTTGCCCATGTGGATCCCAGTACTGCACCTGTGGATCACTTTGTGACTATGTTTCATTTGATGATATTTCTTTATGGGTCTGTTTCTGTTGGTCAGTTTCCACCCCTCCATGCCTTACTGCTGTTCCTGTTCAGTTTTCAGATTCAGCTGTTCCTGAATTCTCCTTTTTAAAAAAATGTTTTTCACTTTTGCACTGTAACTCAGAATTGCTAGCAAAAAAAAGAACTAATGTTACAATCAGAAAGCATTGCAGTGAAGATTTGAAAAGTTTCTGTATTCTGATTTTCAGTTTTGCAAAAAATATTATTGCTCATGCACCATAGCACATAGTGAAAGTTAAAAAAAGAGTAAGCTTTGGGGTAAAGTGAGGGCTTGAGAATGGTGAGTGGGTAAAATAAACAGGGAAGGGAAGAGAAAGTGAGGTCGGCAAGGCTAGGGCGAAGAAGCAAAAAGCAAGGACAATCTCTGTGGGGAGTAAGACTCCACACAGCAATTCCAGGCGGTACCGGGACAACCCAAAACAACCCATCCGGCAAGAAATGTGTGGGCGGGACACCAATACTGGGATGACCCTACACAAACCTGCAGCGACAACAAAATGCCTGAATGACTCAAAGCAAGCCCAGGGCAACCAGAGACAGTCGCCGTATTACGAAGAAGCCCCTCCCTTCTCCACTTGAGGAACAAAAGGCCCCAGGGACAGAAATAGGAGATCCTTTTAGATATCATTATTTCTTCCATTTCTACCGCGTCTTTTCACTACTTGGAAAGGTTCGAGGTTAGATTGCAATCATTACGGAAGTTATACATAGGACAGCAGCCTGTCTCGCCCTCCGCTTCCCCCGCAATAAATAGTTGCAGTTAAAAAAATAAATAAATCCTGCGCTCTCTAACCCAAATCTTCAGACGGAAAACCTTTTACAGGTGTTGCGTTTTCACACACTGTGACGCCACGGTAGCAGACAAGGCTTCTCTAAATACTCGAGTGTTCGATCAGGAATTGAAAAGGGGGGCGTCAGGGAGACCCCCAATTATCTTTATCTTGGGATACGGTGAAGAGGACACGGGTCTAAAAATAGAAGAGTTTCCTTCCCTCCCCCCTAATCCGCAACACTAAAAGTGTGTGTGTGTATTTGGGGGGGGGGGCTCTTCCCTCCACGCTGTGGAAGACGCTCTTTTAACAACCGTCGCCCAACTGGGGGGGGGGGAGGAAGGGGAAGAGCCAGACAAGAGAATCTGGAGTCTCGCGAATCCTTGTCAGCTCCGCTTTTGCACCCGGTGGCGAAAGGCGCTCTCCCTTTTTTTTCCCCCAAATCTCTCTGAGACCGCAGGAAGACCCGAAGAGGGCGGCTGGCGTGCGCGCTTGCGTCACAGTTCCGTGCGTGGCGAGGAGCTCAGGGATTGGCGGCGTACGGGGCACAGGGACGTGCTCGGCTGGCTATATGAGCTCAGTGGAGGCGCCGCCTTGGCCTTTTCCGCCTCGCTCCTTGTCCGCGCCGGGAGCTGCCGCAGAGCCGCTCCTCCGCCTGAGACTGCCCGCCGCCGACTCGGCCCGTCTTCGCCCGACGCCTTAGCCATGATTATCTACCGCGACTGCATCAGCCGTAAGGAGAAGGGCTTTTCCTACCCTCCCCCCATCCCACCCCCGGATCTCCCGCCCTATCTTTGTTTGTAATTGGGAGGGACGGCAGAGGCGGTGGTGATAAGAGTGTGGCATTAGGGCCGCGCGCCCCCCCGTTTTCGCTGTGCTGGGGCGTAATGCGGCTGCGCCGTTCCACATACCAGTCTAGCTAACGCGAGAGCGCTCCCTTTGCACTGCGCCTGTGCGGCCTGCGGCCGGGGGGGAGGGGAAGAGAAAAGAGACGGAGATCCCAAGCGCGCGTTCCCCTTGCCGCGCATGCGTTTCGCACTTGTCGCTGCTGAGGGAAGGGGGGGCGGCGGCTGGGGAGGCTATTGCGCATGCGTCACCAGGGCTGTCTCCGTGGGGAGGGGGTGCGCGGGAGAGGTCACTGTGCGAGGGACGGTCTTCCCAGCCGTCCGAGGGGCTTCCGCCTTGTTTTTCAGCGAGGTTTTGCCTTGCAGATGTCCTGGAGTTGAAAGGGGTGCCGCGGAAACCGCCAAGGCTCCTGGGCCTTTTCTGGGCAACCCAGGAAGATCAGCTTCTTCCGAGCAGGGCAGATTAACGCTTTTGAATGGCAGCTCCCAGAATCCTCTCTAGCAGCCATGCTGTAGGTCTGAGGGATTTGGAGAAGTGTGGTCGGAAAAGCAGTTTTCTAACCCCAAGTTGCCCCATTGTCTCTCTTTTTGTAGCGGAACAGCTGTGGGAAAATTAGGGGATGCTTGGAAACCAGGGGCTTACTTTGGGTACAAAGCAGGGATGGGAAGAGGAATCAGGATGGCTATGCGGGGTTGGAGCGCTGTGGGAGAAGACTGAAGAAATGTCTTTTTTTTATTTATTATTTACTTCCTTCTATAGAAGATGAGATGTTCTCAGATATCTACAAGATCACAGAAGTGGCTAATGGCCTTTGCCTAGAAGTGGAGGGGAAGGTAAGTAGAGGGGCTGGAGTCAGCCTTACTTGTCCAGGTGGAGGGTTTGAGGTGACAACAAGCTCAAGTCAGGCAGGGTAGTTAGCGCTCATTGTAATTCTGGATTCAGATCTTGTGAACTTTTTCTTGGGAACAGAAGAGTAGACCATCAAAACAGTTGCATGTGTCTGAGTAGCTGTGTGATTTAATGAATGGGCTTTGGGGGTTGCAGCCTATTTTGGGACTTAATAACATTCAAACTGTGTGCTGGTGAAATAGCAAAGTGTGTGAGTTGCAAATTGGAGTGTATTTTTCAGACCTATCATTCTATAAGCTTATTTTGGGGCGAAACAGTAAATCAATCCTTAGCTCCTACTTTTTAATTAACCTAACATGGTGATAAAATGTCTTGATGTTTGCTGTGCCCTAAAAATCAGATAACCAGTGCCTGGAGATAAGGGATTAACAAGTATAATGGCAAAGGGGTGCTTCAGTTTCCACAATCATTTGTGTGTACATCAGCATGCAAGGCTATGCAATCAGAACCTTGTTTACAATGACTTGGAAGAGTCTGGGGATAGAGATCTGACAAGCAGCTAGAGATTTAAAATGGCACTTGCAATATATAGAAATATTATGAGCTGTATTCCATTTTCCTTCTAACTTTAGTTGAACTGCATACAGTTCTAACTGTCTTCCTTTATGCGAAATACATAAATTAAATGTTTCAGAACTATTAAAGGGGATAGCTTTATCTGAAACATATATCAAAAAGTCATTTTTCAGATACTAAAAGTTGAGTTCTTGTCTAAAAAGTTGGCCCACATTTATGGTGACATTTTCGTGTTTTCTTGGTTGCAAGGTCTTTTTTGTTTATTCTTTAATCTTGGAATTTAAAATTTCAAGAAGATCAAAACTTTCTCATTGTGTGTGAAGAGTCAGCATGTGAATTTAATGTTCTATCTCGATGGTTTAGATGGTGAGCAGGAAAGAAGGTGAAATAGATGATGCGTTGATTGGTGGCAATGCATCTGCTGAAGCTCCAGAAGGGGAAGGGACAGAAGCCACAGTTGTCACTGGCGTTGACATTGTAATGAACCACCATCTTCAGGAAACAAGTTTCACTAAAGAGTCTTACAAGAAGTACATCAAGGACTACATGAAAGCGTAAGTGATCCATCACTTCCAAGCTAGACTGCTGCAACATGGACTATATACAGTTGGCCTCTTCAACTCCTCTAGGAAGTGCTGTTGTGTTAACTAGACTGGAAGAGTTTTATAGAGTGCAATTCCGTGTTTTCTATATTTTGACTAATGGGATTCAAGGAAGGTCACAGAACATTAAGAAAAAATAAAATATAAAATATTGAACAAAGAATCATCAAAATAATTAATTAAAACAAATTAAGAAATATAGAAATATTTAGAAATACATTAGAAAAGAGGTGTCAGCAATGAATGTAGGATGACTTGCGATGGTAAAGTCAGATGCTAAGCAAAAATTTGTTTGAATAAAATTGTTTTCAATTCCTGGTGAGGGGAAAGAAGGCTATCCTAACCTGACAGGAGAGGATATTCCATAACTTTAGGGGCAAGTAGCAAGGCCTGTTCTCTTGTTCCTGTCAAATGTATGTGTAGAGGTGATGAGACAGAGAGAAGGGCCTCCTGAGATAATATTAAGATCTTAGGGGGGCTATGTGGAGAGATATTAAGTGGCCCATCCCCAAGCCATATAGGACTTTAGAGGCCAACCACCATTTTGGATTGGACTTGGAAATAAAGTAGTAACCAGTGAAGTTGCTGTATCTGAGTAGTTATATGTTACCTGTAACCAGCATTCTAGCTGCAACATTTCCAAACTGGCTTCAAAGGCAGCTCCACATCAAATGTTTCAGTTATCCAGACAGGATGTAAACACATGTCACAGCGGCCTAATCAGACATTTCAAGAAACAGGCACAGGTGGCACTCTTAACTGTGCAAACAACTCATGGCCATTGCTGAAACCTGGACTTCCCGGCTCAAAGATGAGTCAAGGACTATTCTCAAAGAATGGACCTGACTTTTCAGGGGGAGTGTAACTCCATTCAGCAGAAGTTGCATCCATATTGTCTTACCTGCCTGTGGGTTGACCAGGAGCACCTTTGTCTGGATTAAATTTTCATCTGTTAGGCCTCATCTAATCTATTATCAATGATAGAAACTGGTTTAGAACAAAAACAGCTTTCTTTTAGGTTCAAAGGAGAGAATTGTGCATCATTTGCATACTGGTGATACTGAACCCCTAAACTCTGGGCAGACTTTCCCAGTGGTTTCATGTAAATGTTAAATGGCATGGGGAGGGTACAAGGTAGAACCCTGAGGGACCCCACGGGCCAAAGGCCAGGATGTGGAACAGAAGGCTCCCAGCACTGCCTGCCTGCAGGTCCATTTCAGAGGGATGGGTCATTCATTTATATCAAAAGCTGCTGAGAGGTCCAGCAGAACCAAGAGGGATTCACTTCCCATATCTCTTTACCAGGATAGGCCATCCACCAAAATGACCAAGTTATCTTTAATTCAGCACAAAGTGTTGGATTTGAATGGATCCTTATTGCAGCAGCCTGAATGGATGATACAGCTCTATGAGGATCTCTGTTGGCATCCTTGTCTTCTCTATCAGATCTGTAAATTGGGGATTGTTTAATAAATACCACATGACTGAAGGCACTTCTGATATTGCTCTGTTTCCCATTTTTTTATTACACTACCTTAAAATTAACAGTGATGCTACTTTAATGGTACCGTTGATATATTGAGTCGAGTCATAATTAGAGCTGTAAGCCGCAAACACTACATGTTAAAAACTTGGCACCACTTAAGATTCACCTTCTCTTGTGGCATATAGTAATTGTTCTGCAGATGATATATGGCAATGTTAGTAGAGCCAGTGTTTAGCAGGAATAATCAATAACTGCTATGTGAATTTAATATCCTTTTTTAATTTACTGTAATCAGGTTGGCTTCATAGCTAGTTTAACAATGATCTACCTGAGAAAATATTTGGAGGCTGACTATCCTGCTTCTGTACCATAAGGCATCAATCATATTTTTAGCACAAGATCAAGTTCATATTCATGCACTTGCAAGTTCATTATGAGTTATACTACTTGCATTAATGTTGTTTTAATGACACACTGTTGTGATTTTTTAAAAATATTTTTATGTAAATTCAGTTCTGTAGGATTAAATAAAACTGGTGAATAAAGGAAAATGCTTAATTGTTCGTATTGGGGAAGGTCCTTCTGAACATGTTCCAAGAATTAGTGCACATCAGCTATTGAATTTAAGGCTACTATTGCACCTGAAGTGTTGATGAATTTTGTTTTTTACAGAATCAAAGCCAGACTTGAGGAAACAAAACCAGAGAGAGTAAAGCCATTCATGACGGGGGCAGCCGAACAAGTCAAACATATCCTTGCAAACTTCAAAAATTACCAGGCAAGTTTCAGGTTTCCCTTTTCCTGATGAAATGCAAAATCCATGTGCTAAAGGAACCAGTAGTACTTTTGTATTCTAAGCTGGCTTTTTCTCTTATTTGACACTTCATGTTCTTTGGGAATGACTAATATTTGGGATAGGTGAAACATTATGTAAAATTCCAAATATTTTCAGGTGTCTTTCTGAAGCTGTGTCCTATCAAAGTAATAGGAGATAGTTTGAGGTGATTAAATCAGTACAGATGTGATAAATATTTGTTCAGTTGTTGTGCAGATGCAAGCCCTGTATTGATCAAAGTGAGCCTTCAAGAGGAAGTTCTTAAACATCTGTCTAATGATTACAATAGGAAGGACATTCCAGGGACTCGGCCACCATCAGGAGACCACTACCTCTGTAGCAGATCAGTCTCCCCGATTGCAAGGTTGGACACTTGAGAGACTCCTGAAGTAGCAAACAGTGCCTTATTTGTGGAGATGTTCCTTCTGACTTAGGTCTTGTTCCCAAGCCATTCAGACTTTGAAGGTTTAGGATAGCATGTTGGTTTATCACCAGAAATGCATCAGCAGTATTTGTACCAGTTTAAATTCAGTTTTGTAAGCTAGTTTCTTCTAACAATGTACAGTGGTGCCTCGCTAGACGATGATAATCCGTTCCACTGAAATCGCTGTTTAGCAAAATCATTGTCTACCGAAAAGCATTTCCACATTGGAATGCGTTGAAACCTGTTTAATGCATTCCAATGGGGAAGAATTGTTGTCTAGCGAAGATTGGCCATAGGAAAGCAGCTTTGTGAACCGCGATCAGCTGTCTAAATTGCTGTCTTGCGAAGCTTGGGTCCTGAAAACACCTGTTTTGCGAGCGCGGAGTAAGCTGTCAAAATCGTCGTCTGGCGAAAATCGGTTTGCAAAGCAGGGACCAAACATTGTCCAGCGAAATTCCCCCATAGGAATCACTGTTTTGTGAATCACTATAGCAATCGCAAAAAGTCAGTGTCTGGCAAAAAAAAACCTATCATGCAGGGTAACTGTCAAGCAAGGCACCACTGTATTCGTGTTAACAGATATTTTTTCTTCTAAAGTTTTTTGTAGGAGAGAACATGAATCCAGATGGCATGGTGGGATTGCTGGATTTCCGTGAGGATGGAATTACTCCTTTTATGATTTTCTTTAAAGATGGATTAGATATGGAAAAATGTGTAAGTTTAAATTCATGGGACAAATTTCCCTAACTTAGTAGTCTGTGTGGCTTAGAGCTTTCTTTGCTGTTGGAAATAGTATTATATACTGAAGCCCCATCATATTGAGACCCATCAGTTCAGCATCCTGTATCTTGGGACATAGTGACTTTTTTGCCCAAAACAATAGGAATTGCTTTTTAAAGGATCTGGCATTCCAGGGTGTTCAGTGATATTAATGAAAAATTTTAACTGTCTCTGATGTCTGTGATTAATAAGTGACAAAGTGCTAAATAATATAGAGTATTTATTCTTGAAGGCTCTCAAGGCTGGAATCTGGTTGTTGTTGCAGGTTTTTTGGGCTGTTTGGCTGTGTTCTAGAGGTTTTTCTCCAGAACACGGCCAAATAGCCAAAAAAACCTTACAACAACCAATATAATGTAATTGAATTCCTGTTCTTGTTTTTTTTCCTTCCTAACATTGTATATGCCTCATGGCATCAATTCAGAGCTTTTGGTTACTTATGTGCTACAACATAAAGGATGCCATTGCTTTAGTCAGTTAGCTCCCATCAGTTCATATGAAGTTAGCCGTGTTTTGTCCTATGGGTTCTCTTTAATCACACCTTGAGGATTGTTGTCTGTTAATCTAGTTTGGAGAGTTCCCTTATTCAATTCTTTGTAGTTTGTTTGGGTTTTCAGTATCCTGAATAATTTTGTGCCACCTACTAGTTTGGCTACTTCACCTTTGACTTGTGATTCCAGATCAATTAATGTTAAAGAAATTAGTGCCAGTCACTCTAGATCTTAGAAGACCTCCCTGATGCTTTGCTTCCCTCAATTAGGAGAACTGCCTGTTTTATCCCTACTGTTGTGTCTTGTTCTCCAGGTGCCTAATCCATCAGATGGTAGGGTGTTTGGGTTGTTGTTGTCAGGGGGATGGATGAACTTTTAAAAAATTTTCCCACAAGCTTTCTGGGCAGTAGTTTAGGACAGTGAAATTTAAAAATAATTGGTAATGAACCCAGTGTTGGTGACAAGTGGTCACTAATCATTGTTAGAAGGCCAGCAATTTCTTCTACAACAACAAATCTCTGTTGACATTTTAGTCCTCATTATTATCTGACTTGTGAGAATTCACTAAAAAAGTCTATGGCTAATGAAATGTGTAGATAGTATTGTCCTTTTTTTGTTTTTTAAGAGCACAGACAGAAATGCACAATTTTTACACATAAATGCATGTATTGTAGAGTCAGATTTCACTTTGAGTAATTTTAAATGCATAAATGTATCCACCATTTGTAGTTTTACTGATTTGTGTGTCCATGATTGAAAAGAGGGCTATGTAGGGTGCTTCCCTTACCGACGGGAAGGAGATAAGTTGTAAACCCTGTATGTTAAGCATCTGCTGATAGGCCAGGAGTATCACTTTTTGCTCTTTGGCTTGCACTAAGATGCAACAGCAATGTCCTTGCGCTTTCTGTCTGCCTGATAACATAGCAGCTCAGATTGAATAGGGGAGGACAGTTTTAAAATCAGGATTGAACCATTATTATAAAGAACTGGTCTGAGCTGTGGCTAATTCTTATTAATTTCTTAACAGTAACAAGAGATCTACCTTTCGGGATCATCTGTCATCCTCATCATAATTGGCTGCTGCTCTTTATTCATCAACAAAACATCATGACTCAACACTGTCTGAAAACTGGACTGATGCCACTGAGCTTAATTTGATTTATTTTGACCCTGAATTATTTGGAGTGGAGGCATTGGTTTTTAAAAACTTTGTCATGTAGGCTGTCTAAAATAAAAAAACAAACAAACTCATGTAAACCCAGTTTAGGTAATGCCTCTTGGTTTAAATGTGTTGAGCAGGGTTCTTCAGCAAGCTTCCTGTAGCTCTTAGGCACATTTGGATTTTTGACATCAGTAGCGTAGCCTGCCTTTAATGCATGTGTAGGACTATCTTCAAATACTGGTGACCCTGGAATTTGGAAGATCAACCAGCCATAATTGAACTGCTTCGTAGACATCGGAAAATGACAAATACAGAACGCTTTCATTCTGAAGTGGACTTGGCTTCTTGCCATTCAAGAAACCACAGTAGCTAGCTGGAGGACAATCTTGGAAACCATAGTGTGGCAACACTCTGTACTGGTTTGAGTTATTAACCAATTAAAGAGAGAAGGATTTTTTTTCAGTTTGTCATGGCAGATTAGGACCATAAGGCGTAGAATCTGGAAGGTGAATCCTTAGTGGCAGAATGAAGCATATTAGGCAAGGCCATACACGAGGCACTATTTATGCTGTAGTTTGAAATAATTGTGACTTCAAATACATAAGTAATACTGTAATAAGTAATACATAAGTAATCACAGGATATTGATTTTTGAGTGGTATCAATTTAAGCTTGAATCTGCTGGTTAACGTACAGTCTACTAAGCAAGTGGTGTGTACTAGGTAGCAGTACACCCTGTCATTGGCTATACTTCAACCTTTTGTTTGCAATAGGCATCTCCTTGGTGGGCCCAGAAAATACAGACTGCTTCTTGTAGGATTTTTAAAAAGGAAGAAAACTTTGTAGGTCACCCATGTTGTAAACCCATATCATGAATTTTTCCAATATTTTTGTTTTCTAAACAAGTTCAGATAATGGTGTCAAGTGTAACACAGGCATGGCTTTTGATAACAGGAGGTGCTTTTTTCTTAAATGAGCAAAGGCTGTTGCAAATGCTGGTACCAATATGTAGCGATAACAGAAGCCATTAAATTGTTTAATGGGAGGGTATGTTGCTTTACATGGTGGCACTGCAGGCTAAACCGCAGAAGCCTTTGTGTGCTGCAGGGTCAGAAGACCAGCAGTCATAAGATCGAATCCACACGATGGAATGAGCTCCCGTCGCTTTGTCCCAGCTCCTCCAACCTAGCATTTTGAAAGCATGTAAATGCGAGTAGATAAATAGGGACCACCTCGGTGGGAAGGTAAACAGCGTTCCGGGTCTAAGTTGCACTGGCCATGTGACAACGGAAACTCTTCGGACAAACGCTGGCTCTACGGCTTGGAAACGGGGATGAGCGCTGCCCCCTAGAGTCGAACACAACTGGACAAAAATTGTCAAGGGGAACCTTTACCTTTACATATGTTGCTTTACGTCTCAGTAAGGCAGTTGTCTGTGATAAAATTGTTTCACATGTCAAATGCTCAAGAGTAGAGAATTTCTCTCCAGGTGGGAGAAAGCTGACTTGTCTGTCATTCCTGCCAGAGCTGGTAATTTTTGCATACTTGTTTAAAGTACATGAAATTCGGCGTGGAATATGTAATTGACTGTTCTGTGCCATGTATCAAGATTGTATTATGGAAAATTACTTGCCTATTTCTGTGACATAGCCATAGTCTTGCCTGTTTGGTTTGCTTCTGTGGTGCAGTTTCACCATATGTGAAGTTGTCCGCTCTGACCAAATCAGCTTCATTGCATTTTTGTCACTCTGTAACTTTTGGATCTGTTTTGAGGCCCCTTCAGTTCATCCTACCTGCCCCACCCCACCCCTGGCAGATAGGAAGCACATAAAGTGCTGTTAAGCTGCCCTAGTGTAGAGAGCCTGTACTTCAGGAGGTGCACAGTGCTTGCTCTAAGCATCAGTACGTAGGCTTTGAGAGGAAGTGCAATTTAGCACATAGTATCTGGATACTTCTTAATTTCTACTTTGAAACAGCCACATCCTATTTAACATTCAGTCTAGAACTGGTAGTTGAGCCTAATTTATGTTTAGGCAAGCCCTGATTCTTGATGTTGGGTTAACAAAAAATAAGTGTTTTTTTCTGTTCTCTTTTGGGCATAGTGTAGGTTTGTATTAGATGTGGTGGTAGTAGTATTATAAGCTCTGTTAGGTAGAGAGATTAGACCAATTTCATCCTTGCATTTGTATGGATGAGCTAGCAGGGACGGATTGTTCTCCACAGACATTCATAATGGAGCCTGTGATTCTGCTGTAAAGGTGGTAGGTCTGTTCCTTAGAACAGCACACTTGCTGGAGATACCAAATAGTTCAGTGACACACATGGTGACATAAGGAACAGTGTGACTTAATATGTTCATCTCAGGAATCACTGGTCAATACTGCATAGATGGTACCATCTTGACAACACATAGTTACAAGCCATGAAGTCACAACTAACTCAAAACTGATAGGATTTTCAAGGTAAATCAAATATTTGAGGTATAGTTTAACCAATGTCTCAAAAAAAAATACAGTATAACCTGTGAGGAAGATGCAATAACTTGAATATTTATTTGCTGGCTATTGTACATCAGTTTGTCTTGCACAGGGCAATTTTATATGTGTTATAAGCAAGAAAACCTTTATTTACAATATTTATACCTTGCCTTTCTCGAGAGGACCCAGGATGGCTCACAGTATAAAAACTGGATGGGAAGGCAATATCCCATCCCCACAGCAGCTTTTCACTGGGAAAAATCCTGTGTGCAGAAGGACACAAAGAGCTATGGAAGGGAATTCCAGTTTGGGAGCAGCAACAGAAGAAAGCACTTCACCAAATACACCTATGACAGTAAAAGAAAACACCTCCCATGATTTGAAAATCCAGCCAGGCTCATAAAGGGAAAAGCAGTCTTTCAGTTGCTTGAGGTCAAGTCATCTAAGGTTTTATAAGCCAAAAGCAGCAAAGAAAGAGCTGTTTTTCTGATGCACAGTAGTGCTAATTGCCAAGATGTGTTAAATAAATCATTTTAATATTTTAAGTCATATTTCCAGATTTATATTTTAATTTATTTGCATTAATTTTTTCTCTTTACACACACTGGCCAAAGTTCTAATGGGGGAAAATCCATAAGCACAGCAGCAACTGCCTTCTGTTGGCAGCCATAGTTTCTACAAGCTGATCTACATTAGCCAACAAACATCTGATTTTGAAGTTGCCAGATGTTCCTTCTAAAAATTTCACATATGGAAACCCTCCTAGTTCTGTATGATTTTTGTGCAGTGCAAAATGTAAACCACTATGTGTACATAGTTTCTTATTTATTGGGTGACAGGCACATGATAGCCAGCCAGCTAACGAGAGTATCTTAATGCAATTGCCTTTATGCACTCATACAGAGTACAACTGGACTCTGGCCAGTAGATTTGGTGTTTTGTAGTGGCCATGGGGTGTATATATAGACTTGTGGGTAGTCTAATATATCTTAATATCACAAAAATTCAATCTGCTGGTATCTGTAAACCAAACTGCTGTAAAGGGCTATAGGTTAGATCTACTCTTCTCAGGAATTAGGAACTGACAATTCAAGAATGAGTATACATGGGTCAAGTCTGATGGCTCCTAAAGTACCCTTTAAGCTCCTATTCCTATGTAATGGTATCAATTGACAATATATACTTAACTCACTCTTGAACTTCTATGTACCCTAGATTTTAAAATTATTACTAGTATAAAACTTGAGTTCTGTGGATTAATGTTTAGTCATCTTGTCAGCTACCTGAGGTTTTTCCCTGCACTATGAACTGCTCCAAGGCTCAATGGTGAACACATGTATCTGTATATCCCCTGCCCTGTTTAAAAAAAAAACAAATCTGCCTACAGTAACTGACATGCAGGGAATTTAGTGTTTTCTTGGGTTCACTAACTTGTACCACCTCATTAACACTAAACAGATAAAATAAATTTTAAAAATGTCCAGTGTTTCTAGAGTAATGAAACACGTCTAGTCTACCGAAGAATATTTTTACATCCATTGCCACCTTTAATCAAGCAGTTCCGAGTTGCTACTTCCTGGTGCTGGAAGATAAATCCAAGGCAAACAAGGAGAGAGTGCTTTCTAATGGTCAGGGATCTTGTGCAGAAGAGAGATCATCCCTGCAACCTTTTCCATCAACGTGCTCTCCAAAAAGCTAAGCTCATCTGAAAGAAAGCACAACATCTGGCATAGCTGTTGATCCGGTGAGGTTGCATTGGGAATGGCCGCATCTGACAGCACTCAGCAACCTATCGAAGTACAGATAGCTGTAGGTTTTTTGGGCCATTTGGCTATGTTCTTAAGGTTTTCCTTCCTAACGCTTCGCCACTCTGTGGCTGGCATTTTGAGAGGACCTCCGAAGATGCCATCCACAGAGATTAGCAAAACCTTAAGAACACGGCCAAACGGCCCGAAAAACTTACAACAACCATTGGATCGCAGCCGTGAAAGCCTTCAAGAATACAAAGTACAGATAAATCACAAAAAGTGACATTTCATCACTGCAAAATGCGTTCACCCACACATTGAGCTGCAGATGAAGGCATCTACGAACTTGGGAAATGTCCTGATTAACCTGGTGAACACAAGGAGATAAAAATCTTAGTGCTGAAAAAGGAGCTTTTCTTGCAGTGACAAAAGCAGTACGTAGTACTTATTTCATCCTTATGACCTTCAATGTAGCTTTACTTTGATAAGTACAGATGGCTCTGTCAGGTGATTCTCATGCCATTCCACAGCCCTGAAACTTACTCAATCTAGGGTAGAACAAGCAGATGGTCACTCATTCTACCATGAGAAGCCACACAATGTCCACAACCTTCAATACCATAATGTTCAAGGAGCTGGATTGTAGAAGACCATAAAACAACATAAACTCTACACACTTTTTGTGAAAGTCCACTACCGTCTTGAAAGTGAAAGAAACGCTGCCCAAGATAGAGAGCTCGTTCCTTAGCTCACCATCAAGATTTTATTGACATCTATCCCCTGTTGGCTGAGCAGGTAATATTTTAGAACTGAACTTCCTACAACCAGAAATACTGTACAGTGGTGCCCCGCTTCACGACAACCCTGTTAGATGACAAAATTGCTTTATGATTAGTTTTTTCCCTTTACGCTGAATCAGTCTCTGCTCCGGGAACTGATTTTTCGCTTCACAACAATCAAAACCAGCTGATCATCGGGTTTTCAAAATGGCCTCCCGCTGTTTTCCGGACCTATTTCTGGAAGACAGCAATAGAAAATGGCTTCCCCTATGGAGGATCTTTGCTTTACGATGAGGTATTTCACCCATTGGAACCCATTGACTGGTTTTCAATGCATTTCAATGGTGGTTTTTTTTTTTACTTTTGCTTGACGACGCTATCGCTTAACAGAGATTTTAACGGAACGGATTATCATCATCAAGCAGGACACCACTGTATATAAAACACAAGAAGACTTACAGACTGATTTTAAAAAAATAAATAGAAGATTTACAGACTGATTTTTTAAAAAATAAACAGAATTCCAGTAAAAACTTTCATAGTGAATGTTGCATTGTTTTTAGGAGCTACTTATACTTTGTAAACTTTTCAGACCTCAATTAACCTTGATTCTCAACACACTAAAGCAGAAATATATGTGCTTGTACAAATCAGAAAGTTGTTTTTATTAATACAGAAACATTTACCTTTCATACAAAAATGAGGTCATATTTTTCCTTTGTATTTAAGTTTTCTTGTACTTACATTTTTTCTTCAGTGATTGATTTCTAAGAACTTCCTCTCACTATCAGTGTGTGGGTACCAAAAGCAATTGCTCTCCTTCCCCTCTTCTAAGGAACATTACAGAATGGATTTCACTCTAGTTATTCTCAGTAATCCCTAATCCTATGCTATACAACCTCCTGTTCCATGGCAGTTCTGGGCTTCAGCTTCATACCTCAAGATTCAGAACCATGCAAGATTTTAGTAATGGGATAAATTTAGCAATACATAATACTTCTAGACACTTTAGTAACATTGTCATCGTTTTACAAAGTGCAAAAGAAGGAAAGAAACATTACAACAAAAGGCTAACCATTAAAGAAAGGCAATACAAGTTTATTCTAATTTTAAAAATTGCTCACAAAACCAACACACAAAAACACACTGAATATTCCTTGCAAAAGTTTTTTTAAAAACTGAAAATGGGCTTATTACAAATGATTGACTTCTTACTAAGAGTGAGGTGTGCAGCTGTTCTTCCTGTTCCCACAATGGCCAACTCTCTTGCTTACTTGACCAAGATTTCTACTAATCGCTCTTATCTTCACCTTGGTAATGCCTATATTCAGGCTTAAGTTCCCAGGTATTTTTGTGTGTCCCTTTAACGTTGTAGATACCGATTTCTCTTAAAATTTCTTTCAAATAGCTCTGAAAAGCAAAAGAAAATATTTGGTAAGAATACACAGTATATTTTTACATCAGGAATAAAGATAGCAACAAAATAATCTAACACAGAAGTCTCCGAGTCCTAAAGTGCAGTGGGCACATCTGGAATTTTGAAAGGGTCTGGCTGCAATGGTAGACATGGCTAGTCACAAATACCCATTTCTTGCAAGGCAGATTGGAGAAGCTAAAAGAGAAGTAATTTTTTCAAAGAAACATAATACAAATATAGGCAATGTCTGCATTCTGAAACTGAAATCCAGTCTTTTGAACCCACAATTTTCTGGTACAACACCCATTTTACAAAAGGTAGACAGAAGAGGATCAAATAGGTACTGCGGTGGGAAGGCAAATGCAATGCAGTCTTCTAGCCTCTAATTCCTAATGTAACTTAACCTCTGCTTTTAGAAGAACAGGTTAAGCATCCAAAATGTTCATGTGGGTGGAGATAATTGGCTATGCCAAGGAAATGTAAATGCATGAGAGAGAGAAGAGAGAGAAAAAAAGGGGGGGGATGCAAAACGTGTTAAGCATCTCACTTTGCAGATCTGAGGAACTCCAATGCAGTGTCTACACTCTGAATAAACAAAGAAAAGTGACCAAAATGTGTAGACCTATAGTTGCTGATCCGGGATGTCTGTTAAACATTATGGACAAGTATTCCCCCCCTTTTTTTGTGTGTACCTATGATAGCAATACAAAGTACTGTAGAGGACAACGTAGGACAACATAGTTTGTGTCTGTGTCAAATAGTTTTTACAACACAGTACAAGAACATGCAACTGTAATATTACTGTTAAGTATATATACAGTATTCAGAAAAATAGGAAAAACAGAATGAATCGATTCACCCTATCAAATAGGAAGACTATTGCAGAAAGACAGGGAAAACAGAGATAAGAACTGGGTTCATTCATATAATTTAACACAATGAAAGCACTACTGCCAGAACCTGAGAATTTGCAATGGAAGGAAGGAAAAGTGGGGGTGATGCAGCTGACAGTTGCTCTAGGCACTGCTTAGACAGACATGTAGGTGGGACATTTTTAAGTGCATCAGCTGTGGCTTCAAGGCCCCAGGCACAGCACACAGCTCAGGCCAGTGATTACAGCAGAGGATGTGAAAAAAAGGAAGATTAATCGACATGTTAAGACACATGCAGCAACTTTATATGCAAAGAAACTGGGGAGGAGGGCAGATAATCAGACAGAACAGGGCATCCTGATCCCTTTGATTCTCCTTTAAGCACCCTCTTGTGGATGGCTGCCCTTAGGTCCCTTCCTCAAAATAGTTATGTCTTTGTTCTTCTTTCTTATCCAGCAGGCAATTCAGTCATAGGAGTTCTTCCATCTGGGCCTTCAGCATACTTGCACAAATGAAAGCCAGCTCCAGAGGCTTCCATACTCAAGACTAGATTTTAGTCTGTTTTATCTTGAACAGATACTTTGCAAAAATAAACAAACATTTGTGCTATTTCTTTATCATAGAAATCCTGAACGATTACTCCTAGATTAAATTCATAAACTCTTTGCTACCTCTGGCATGCTAACACAAATTACCTCAAAGTTCCTACAGCATAAGGGCCCAGTTCCAGTAGTCGGTGGACAGCTGGAATATTGAGTGCACACACATGTTTTCCCTAGTTTAGTGAATTAGTTGACAAATATATAATTTAACCCCGTGACAATGGTAATTTGAATTCTCCAATTTCTACTCCTTTAAAATTAATTTGGTTGCTTCTTCATCTATTATTACTCATGCTGACTGTAAAATTAAATACTGTTGGTTGCTTCTTCATCTATTATTACTCATACTGACTGTAAAATTAAATACGGTAGTATACATACATAAAGATGTCTACCTGATTTTAATAAGCAATACAGCAATACATATTGTGTATTTGAGAATGTCTTATTTTCAGTTACAGATTCAGGGGATTGGAAAGCAGCAATAGACCATTCTGTTAGCTGATCTCCCACCTAAAGTGTACATTTCTCATGCTGCAATTAACACAAACACACCCTTGGGCTATAAGAATATACTCAGGGACTGTGGGGTTGCAATGACAAAAAATATTCATTATTTTTACACTTAAAAATCGCTACAGGTCAGGAAATAATTGATCACAACAAGGTGATAATACAGAATACTCTTTTGTACCACACCTGTGCCTAATGACTCATGAAACAGACAGCTAATTTTCCAAGTTCAAGTAACCTATCTGCAGATTTTTTTTTTTTAAGGACTCAGATTTCTCTTCAGAACATAATATGCTTCATTCAGTAATTCATGGTATATCTCTCACCTAGTAACTTCACATAGCTGTTGATTAAAATAACAGCCCCAACTTTTTACTTTTAAGGCAAAGGGGTTTCTTTTCAGGATGCAATATTGGAGGGGGCGGGGCAACGGCAGCGAGAGCAGAGGGAATTCCAGGGCTCTGGGAACCCTTTGCAAGCTCCGGTTCAGCAGTGGAAGGGAGGGGGCAAGAACCTACAGGAGAGCAGGGCTGGCAGCTAAGGGGAGCAGCAGAACTCCAAATTTAGACAGCAATCTGTCTTTGTGAAAGAGTCCTTTCTCGACACCATGTCAGGTGTGTCAGCTGCCTAACTTTCCTACTTTGTGGGAAGTGTATATTATATTTCTCATGCTGACTGTAAAATTAAATAGTATAAATAAGACAGCACATATTCGTTAAGTACTACTATTCATTCGTTCGTTCATTCATTTATTCATTCCACATGTATGATCTATAAGAATTCTTGAGAATGCACTGGCCCTTGTAAGCCAGGGACCTATAGCACTCAGGTGGGCAGCCTGCCTACGTGGTACTTGTGGTTCCCGGGGTGACACTTGTGGCTCCAGACCACCGAGAGCCCTTTAAAACAAGCAGGGAAAAATCCCTGTTTTTTTTGTTGTTTTGTTTTTGCCTGCCCACTGCCTTCTCTCCTTGTCCTCACATAAGAGCATCTGTAGCCAAGAGAGGCCCAATCCTCCTCTATCACAACTTCAGCTGCAGCTGCCAAGGCATGCCAGGGTTCTCAGAATGTGTGGCAGATATGGCCCTCTTATCTAATTGCTGCTGCACTGAGGGTAGAAGCCCATCCACAAATCCGTTCCACAGCAAGCAGGTGCCTTCTGACTGCCCCAAGCATAAATGGAGAAGCACTTCCCTTTGGCCAACTCCTATAACCCTGCAGTCCTCTGAGCATCAGGCCAGAGCCACTGTAGTCTCGGCCACTCTCCAGTCCCACAGAGGCACTCTGCCTCTGCCACCCTGCTGTCTTTATGGTCACTGTCAAAGGCAGAAAAGCCTTGGGAAGGGGCGGCCTATCAGCCAGTGTTCCTCATACTAAAGTTGCGCCAGAAAGACCTCTGATACTTGACTGTGTGTTGTCTTCATTTGCAATCAGAGCTAGGAAAGAATCCCTTGAACCTGCCATTCCCATCACATATCCTTACAGCTCATTTAAGCTATAATGCTCACCATCACTCGCCACTGTGCTCGTCATGCTTGGTGGGGCAGGATGGACCTGTGGCATTAACCACCTGACAAGGCTGGCATGGAGAAGACAATCTCAGAATCATGCATGAAACTGTATAATAGGGAATTATGTACAATTTCACACACCCATGTTGCATGAGTGTCCATATGTGCATGTGGTTGACCCTAAGAGACAGAGAATGGGCCTTTTTTGCTTGAACATTATTGACTTAACTGCAGATTGGTATCAGGGTAGTTCAGTATTTCCTCACTACCAACATACCCTCTAATTTTCAGCCCTGCTGGGCGGGGCGCCGCCTCTTGGGTGATTTTGCCCCTGCATGTGTGTGCGACTCCACGTCGCCCAGGCACAGGGTTCTATCATGACTGGAACCTAAGGCGTTGAACGTGATTATTGCATGGAGGAGGAGTTAGAAGGCTGCGTGGAGGGAGGCAGAGACCCGCGTGTATGCCTGGCTTAAAGGGAACCTTGTTCACTACTGAAGAGCTTTTACTCTGGCCCATTTTAATGCTAGAACATCAGCCTCCAATATATGTTACTATACTGCCCCTATTACAAGGATATTCATTTCCCATACGTTACTCTGAATTTAGCACGTTTTCCAGGCAGATCTAATAAATTTTATGTTCTCCTTTTCTTCACAGGTCTCTGTAATGAAACTAACTTTAAGGTGGCAAAAATTTGCATACTGGTATATTCTGCAAGAAGGCCGTTAACTAAATATCTCCAACAATTACATTTTAAATAACAGACATTTTGTAATGAGGTCACAAACTCATAACTGTATGTACCTATTCTAGTTTTCTCTTGTCTGAGAATTGCATCCATCCTGTCTGTTCTTTCAGAAGCTGATCTGTGATCATAACGATAAAGGCTGGCTGAGAAGACATCATGATGGAACACCACATGTTCCAGAATATTAAAAGAAGGGGTAGCACTACTGATTTCAAAATTAATACCTGGTAATACTTTTGCTAATAAGTAGTATGTGTTGTGAAGCCTCCAATTTACAGTGATCCTTCCAGGGTTTTCCAGCAGGACGTACTCTAGGTATAAAGTAGTTTACTAGTCGCTCCTCCTGGTGGCACTCTGGAGATGTGCAGCTTGCCCAAGGTTACACAGGTGGCAAGCATGGAACTCCCATCAGACACACATTCCAGGTGACCTTGGATGGCCTCTTCTAGGGCTGTGCATCAAACTCCTAGTCCCCATCTCCACAAACAAGGTTCAATAACCCACTGAATTATAGCAATTCTACACAATATCTTAATTTAGCCAATAATAAAGCACATATGGCTATGGAAATGTTTTTTAGATTTTTCCTATTTCTAGAGTGTGTTTTCAGAGCAGCAAATATATGCTCAAGCCAACTGCACCACTTTTAACATACAGTTAAATTAAAATAAATAAATAAATAAACTGCACCACTTTTAACATACAGTTAAATGAAGAATCCGCATAGCGACACGTTTCTTGCGG